AAAACAAATCAAGAAAACCGTTTTGGACAAATATATTGAATATATATATATATTGTATTATATTGTGCCATTCTATTTGATATTCTTTCTAGCATGTACTCTGACATTCTGTCGAGCATTCTTTCTGGCATCTATTCTGATATACTTTCTGGTGCTGACATTTATTCTGGCATTCTATCTGGCATCTATTCTGATACACTTTGTGGTATATCACATATGGCAAGAATTCACAAGTTTTGTTTTATTTTTTATTCTTTGAGAAATTTAGGCCAAAGTTGCAATAATTCCTCCGGACAACTGGCTCCAAAATTGCATCCATATTGGGTGTGGTAAATCTTTAGTTTCAATATAATTTGGCATTGCTGGGAAACCAAGCAAATCGGCAATCAATCCGATCCAAAATGCGAGATCTGAAAGCGTCCTCCACAGCTTTCTCGAGCACCTGAACGCGACGCAAAAGGAAACTATTAATTAAGAAATTGTCGCGGAAGGCTTGAAGTTCCAGAGGCTGCTGGGAGTGGAAGCTGCCCTGAGCCTAGCGCCGTGCAACCTTTCAATGGCGCTGAAAGGGCGGAAAGCTCCATCCTCTTCACCCGATCCTTTGCTGCTCGGCATGGCATTATACTGGAGGAATATCAAGAGAGGTTGCACGGTGTCTCAACATTTTGACTTCCAAGTGGCTGCAAATCCGCCACATGCTGTATCCAGCACTCCACGCGCTGGTGTTCCCCCACCTCGTGAGGGCTCATGCTAGTGCTTGGCAGATTGGTTTGTGCTCACATTTGCGGCGTATGAAAACAAGTCTGGTTGGTGGTTTTCCTACCCCTCTGAAAAATATGAAAGTCAGTTGGGATTATGACATTCCTAATTGAATGGAACAAATCATCCATTCATGTTCCAAACCACCAACCAAGAGTGTTTTGAACACATCTTGTTTATCAATTTTGGGTGTCGGGCTTCCATCTCCATCATCCGCCACTTTCTCCAGAGCCTGCGCCCAAATTGCAAAGCACCCTGAGCAAACAAGGATATTTTGAAATCAAAAGAAATCAGAAAATTTGAAGAACTTGTACACTTTAAACTTGTACATTTTGGCTTGGTTGATTTTGATTGATTTTTAACGTGTGCAAAATCAATCAAACATCTCCAAAATCCACCAGTTGTTGACAGAATAGGTATGGCCACCTCCAAGCACCGTGTCAACAATTCGGGTCTCAATGCTTCAGCCTGGACACCGGGCAAGTCTCACACATCGTTCTTGAATGGTTGGTTTTGTTGGGAAACCGTGCCCAGGTATATAGTTGATGTCTTTAGCATCAAATTCATTGGTGTTTCCTGCCGGTTTCTCATCCAACTCTGGGACAATGATTGACAGAATCTTGTCTAGGTATCTACATGGAAGATCCGAGAGTTGTTCAAGAACTGTGGTAATTGGAAATCCAGCCTTTCTTTTCCACTTCTGCCCTTCAATTGCTGGCACCCTGGGGCTACAACACCCGGCAATCGGCTTGCCGACTGCTCCTGACAGAGGTGGGGCATCACTGTGAATTCCGCGTTTTGCCGCGCCACCAAGGAAAACTTTTAGGCAAGAACTCTACAAAAATACGATCGGAAAACATTTCTCTGCGGGGCGCGGCAGCAACCCATGCAACCCATGCCTCCACTTTCTGGCAAGCTAACTTGAGATACCGCAGGGTAAAGTCAAAGCCTGCGACTTTCGATCATGGGGTCGATGATGTGCTGTGTTGCTAAAGTGTTTCTCAAATCAGCACGGTATTGTCTTGAAAGAAGTCAAATGACAGACGCAAAGGCTAAAATTAACATCACAGGATTGTAGGTGCAAACTGCATGCAAAAAATGGGACTGCGTGTCTGCATGTTCAACAGCATCAATCTGCGCGAAATCCAACCAATTTTGAACATGCTCAATTATCTTCAATTCAGCTTCAGTGTGAGTGATGTCCACTCTGCAGTGGACACAACCAGATTCGCTTTGGGTTCCCGGCGGGCACGGGCCGGAGCTGGTAAAGCTACCGGCCACATTTTCACCTCAAGGCAGTGACATGTGAAGAAAATAAGGAATGACAAAAAAAAGTAGCACGATTCCCATTGTTGATGATCCATGTTTCATTGTTGTGGTCTTGTTCTTCCCTTTGTTGAACGTTTAACATGTGCAACCTGCAAAGGCTCTACCAAAAAGACCAACGGAAAGAGACCCATTGCTTGATGGAATGTCGAGGTGAAGTGGTCGGAGTGGGCCGCCATGTTTGTTTCACAATGAAATGACCAACATTAGCAGGCAACAAACACTTCCTAGCGCTCACATGAAAACCTTGGGCCCTCCGACGTCGTTGAAGAGAGCTGCTTGTAATACTGCAAGGCTGGCCGATTCCACAGGCAATCGCCTCAGCGTCGCTCCACACTTGTGCAGTGGGAAATCATCATAGGTTTTGAAACACTAGGCCACAACTTTGAAACACTTTTGCCCCAGAAGAACCCAGCACAATAACGCATGAGCCACATGAGCAACATGTCATACCTTGAGAACCACGCCTGCCAAGGATTGCGGCATCCAAACCAAGGTCGCCTTAAAGTGTCGAACGTTCCAAGGCAGTGTGGTTGCAATCGTCATCGGTTGCAATCATCATCATATCATCATATCATCATATCATCATATCATATATCATATCATATCATATCATCACCATATCATATCATATCATACCATATCATATCATATCATCACCATATCATATCATATCATCACCATATCATATCATATCATATCATCATCATCATCATCATCATCACCATCACCATCACCATCACCATCACCATCACCATCATCACCATCACCATCACCATCACCATCATCACCATCACCATCACCATCATCACCATCACCATCACCATCACCATCATCACCATCACCATCACCATCATCATCACCATCATCACCATCACCATCACGACCACCACCACCATCACCATCACCATCACCACCACCACCACCACCACCATCATCACCATCATCACCATCATCACCATCATCACCATCACCATCATCATCATGATCATGATCATCATCATCTTTGTCATCATTCTCCTTTCTGTTATTGATATACGTCTTCGCACAATTTCACTGACATGGAAATCAGCACATGTGCGCTCCCCATTGCAGATGAACTGCAAACAGAACCAAAAAGCAGGGTCCGCAAACAGTCTGCAGTGTGCCAATCTTAAACCTGCAAAAAGCGCAATAGCCTGCACCAAGAGGATCACGAGTGCATCAATTCATATAGAGTATCTAGACCCAGCTTTGGCAAGCCACGGTGGAGTGGCTCGAAGGGCCCCAGTGCCAAATTGGGGTCCTGGCAACAGGTCTTGATGATGAATCCATCGCTGCTCTCATTTCCGGTTTTGGTCTTGTGATTTTTTCTTGAGACTTCTGAAATTTGAGCCAGTTGCAAATTTATGATTTGTTTCTACATGCAGCCATTGCCTGCAGTCATCCTCACCACTAAGCTTTCCGGTCCAGGACCAAGTCTGACAAGATCATCAGGAGTGGCACAAGCAACAAGGTATCCTGTCACAGGACCGTGTGGATGCTTGCTGCCCTGCACCAAAACTGCCAGGAAACCAACATCTGATAGTGACATGTTTCATCCATGAGCTAATTTGAATTCTGTACAAGTGAGAAGAGGATCCAATTTCTATCCTATCTGTGTCGCATTTTCACCTTGCATCTGCAAACCCTTGCGCCTGTGCCTCACTGGCCCAGAGTACATCGCCGTACTCTAGTGGATTCCAAGGTGTCTGGTAGCTGATGGCCTCAGGCGTTGGAAAAAACTCTGGAATCCGCTGAAAAGTCGAAAACCCAGAACGACTCACCAGGTCCTAGGCTATCCCAAGACTGCGGACAAGAGTGCTTGGACTCCGGGCATGCAAACCCATGCCACGAAATTGCCAAGGCCTGCGAAATACAAGGAGGACCAGCCTAGATCCTTCTTCGACACACTTCTGCTTAAGCTAAAATGTGCCACCCACTTCAAGGTGAAATGATCCAATATCTCACAGCTTTTTTTGCAGGCGTAAGCTAGTAAGTCAGCCTTTTCAACCCACCAGCCTCTGGTTGGTTGCTGCTAGGTGAAGAGAGAACGGAAAGGTTTGACCTTCCAGTCGCAACCTCACTGCACAAACTTCCCAGAAGTTCAATTCAGTGCATGTTATGTGGATTTATGTGGGCTACGTGGCAATGTAAATATGTTGCCAAGTGGCGTGAGACCATGCAATGGCCACAAGGCTTCCAATGACAAACCCGTGCCTCAGCTGGGTTGCCATTTTCTCTGTGACGGACTATGTGGAGAAACTTGGAAATGACATGTCAACACCAGCTTGCCAAACTTGCACCGGCTTCCAAGTCTGGAAAACCAAACCAAACCCAGCCCCACCATGTCAGCCATGTCAACATACCCACCACTCAGCATACTTAGCCCGTAACTCACCGTGAGAGGTGCTGGAAGATGAACAAATCCCTCAAACGGTTTGGCTTTCAAGATTTCTTTGATCAGATTAGCGTGGAGAGAACCAATGTACCAGAGCCACACATGAGGTGCCAAAATTCTTCATGCATGTCTTGAGACTGGGTGCGGTTGCCAGTCCTTCATGTGTCAAAAACCTGGAGCTAAATTCACAAGATCTCTTTATCCTGTCACTTGCGTAACACGGGCCTCCAATCCCCAGCTTGTTTTTTTTCCGGAAGAAAAATCAACCACTGAAAGTCCACTGGATGTACAACTTCCACACGCAAAGGCATTAGAATCCTCCCAGGCTGGTGCCACGCCTTGTCGTCTTGGGTGCAAAGCAGCAAATGATCAGCAGCCGAACCTGGCAGGTTCAAAGTCTGTGGTCTCTCATTAGGTGCACCTACAAACAATTAAACGGTTCTAAGTGAGTCTCCTATCCAATGAAACACCTCTTCATGTTCTTCATCCTCTTCTCTCTGGTGGTGCAAATCGAATCAAATCGGACCGAACAAACCAGAAAATGCGAAGAGATCGAGACCGAAAACGAAGAGTTCAAGACTTCTTTCTGCGCAAAACCTGGCCACTTGAAACACGTGACTCCCCAACCATTGAAGCTGGAAAGATTAGGGTTCCCAACGCACGAAAGCCACTTCGAGTGCATGCTTTGGCACCTTTCCCGAGGCAGGATCCAATAACCGTTTGTGGCTCTTGTCCAGTACTGTGTTGACCATCCATCTTTCTGAGCCAAGGGATACAGAGCTCTCAACAGCCCAGATAGGAGGAAAACTGGGAAATACTCGGAGCAACCCTGAATCTATGGGCATCGCTCAAAGAGGAAAGCCCACGTGCTTTCACGACTTCTTCCATTGAGTATTCACGAATGGACCACCGGGTTCGCTGTGGCGATTGACTCTCTGTTCTTGCTTGCCGAGGCACATAGCTTCCACGTGTTCGGTCCACCAAACCGTGCCTTGTGAAAAAACTTTGGCGGCAACCGAACCGGACTTGTCGTCAGCATGTGGGAATACATATAACATAGGCATACCATATGTGTATAATATAAATATGTATCATCAAGATGGCTCAAAATGCCCTTCTCAGCCCATCTGCTCCACACAACCAGAAAGTAGAAATTCATTTGCCGCCATCCGAGGCATCCGGCTGCATGGCATCAATGAAATCCCACAAGGAGTACAACAAGGGGCCCGTCCTCAGCCGTGTGCAGCGCTGCATGACCCAGTGGCCACTGTCGCACCGGTCCGGGTCCCACACTCCGCCAAGCGGATGGCAAAGACCTCGCCTTCCGACGCCTGACATGGCGACGTGCTGTCACTTGCGAATCATTCGTGCAACCTGCCGGGAAATTGTTGCACTTGCTTGTTGGCCACTCCAATTTCCAATCCTTCGGGTGGAATGCAAGTCATCACAAAAATCGGGGGTTTCGTGATAGAACACATAAAAAACACATGAAATCAGTTGCCCATCGACCCAATCCCATCGCGATGACCCCAGGCACCGCCTTCGGTGGTGCAATCGTTGACCATTTCTGCGTCCAAGACCTGGGCAGCTGATCTTCAGGGCTTCAACTCGTTAAGGGTTTGGGGCAACTTGGGAAACTGTATGAAACTGCCCAAATTCCCTCTTAATAACAGAATTCTGGATTTTTGGGGCTCCACACCATTGAAATTCTGTGTTTAACTTTGGTGAAACAGAACTTTCAAGCGGGTGGATCTCCAACTCTTCATGCCAGGGATCCCACAGACTTGGCGTCACCGCCGCTTCAGCCTTGGACCACTGACATGGGTTTCAGCATGACCAATTCATAAAGTGCCACTGGAAAGGTACCCTCCGGTAATTTAACATAGCTATTGAAATGGCCCATTTATAGTGGATTTTCCCATTAGAAATGGTGATTTTCCATAGCTATGTTAGTTTACCAGAGAGTACCTCTTTTAATTGGAGTAATCATCCGTTGGGGAACCCCTTAAAGCCTTAACAAATTCATTACTGTAGGTTTTACTGATGGCTTGAAATCCATCAGTTTGAACGTCATGCCATTGAGCCTGGGAAGGCTGAGAGCCCAAACACGAGCTGCTTGCGCCACTTTCAAGGCATCCTGTGCCTTCCACCCAGCACCGAACTTGCGAATACTTACCTATGAGCCTATGGAGATGGTTCCTCCTCAAAAAAAGTCTTGAAAAGAGACACCCCAAAAAACATCCATTCCTAGAATTCTTCAAGCTTTCCTTTATGTTCTTTCGGAAGATATCGAGGCTCATGAACACGTGCCGACGTTCTTGGAAAGGATTGGACTGAGGTTGCTCACTTCCCCTGTTCAGCATGATTCAAAATTGGGTCAATCCAATGCCCATGCTATCTGAAATGATCTGGTCACAAATCAACCAAGTCGAAAGGAATTTGAATTGCAACCAGCCCCTCATAGCGCTCAACATCAATTCCTCAGCAACACTTTTTGGATTCCAGCGCTATGGCAGCTATGGTTTTGCATGGCTGGTCAATGGCTCACAACTGCGAGTCAGTCCTGCAGAGGTGCAGTGGAATCGATTGAAAGATGTGGGATGCCGCAGCTAAGCGCTGGGGGTAAAATCAACCCACCAAAGCTTCCCCTTGAGTAACCAAGGTCCATCAAACTGATTCTAACCCCTAGTCACCCTAGTGTCACCCTAGTGTCACCCTAGTGTCACCCTAGTGTCACCCTAGTCCTATTGAAGAAATGAACTTCGAACTTATCTTGCTGCCGGTCCCAGTGGCGTCCTATCGCGAGCATCCTCTCAGTTTGTAGATGGACACTTCCTGCACCAATGAGAAAGGCAAGGTGACATGCAAGCAGTTTTAACATCTGTGACACCGCGCCTTGTTGCCACTGCATGGCCTCACTCTCGCGGTGCCTCAGCCGGGCCGACTTTTTCTTGCAACACGGTAGAACTGGGAAGGGCCAGGCATGCATTTGGAGA